CTCAGCGACTTCAGGGCACCTGCAACGGGTTTCTGGATATCTCATTTTAATTTTGCATCGCACACTCGGAAGTTAGTGTGCGAGGCTCTAGTAGCGTAATAGAAATATAATCACAAAAAATGTAATCAGCTTGGACGTAATAGGTGAAAAAAGTACAGAGCTTCAAGCAGCTTTTTTTGTCGATTACATTTTGGTATAGACCAACAAAGAACCGAGACGACCAAGACGCGCAGCTCTAGCTAGAGAATTTTTTATTGCTGCAACTCGCACCAGTTAGGAAAACTTGGACGACCCGCGCATTCAGAATGTTCCAGGCAAAAATATGGATGGAAATCAGGCTGGAAAGCATCACAAGTTGTCACAGGCACCTATTTAGCCAGTCTGCCTGTGAACGTTGATTTCGTCACTATTCTTGCCCTGGACTAGCGCCGTACGCTTGTGCTTGATTGTGCTTGATTGAGAGACACTGCATTCGGTGAAGAACGTAGTTTTCTTCCTGCTCTGCACAGTGACAATAAATTTGAGGCATTTATTTTCGCCCACAAAATTGTATTTAATTACAATTGTATTTGAATTACCCACGTTTTAGTATTTAAATACACACGTCAAATACATTACCCAATAAGTTGTAATTAAATACAAATGCAAAATACATAAAGTATTTGAAATACGTATTTAAAACACTTGTATTTGAAATACTGCGCATCCCTGAGTACAATGTACTTCCTAACACTGACTTTAAGTACACCTAAGGTACTACTTCGGATAGGTTCAAAATACTTGTACTTTACTTGATTGTCTTTATCTGAATATGTACTTTACTTGAAGCGTTTTTTTTTCTTTTTCTGATACTTTCCGAGGAAAGTACAACTCCCGACTTCAAAGTACATTACCCAAAATGGGTACATTGTTGAATTTGTATAACAAAATGATGCTTTGGCAACTCTGAAGCCACTTGACTTTATCCAATATTCGCCACATTTCCAAAAATAACTTCTGCACCCCCGTTTACCCCCTAAACACTGTACAGGGGAATGAAAGAGCATCATAAAAGGTTGCGTTAAAAAAAAAAAATTACTTCTACTTTGAAAGTTCATTGTATTTATATTACTTTGCATCAAGCACATTGCGCCCACTGTACTTACTCTACTTGAACTACATAACCTCTCATTTACTTTGTGTTTTACTTCAAGTACTTTTTAGATGTATACTTTATACGAACACTGCCGAGACCTCAATACACAGCGGAAGGGTCAAGGTGAAAACACATAATATATTTAAAAAAAAATAAAGAAAGGATAAAAAAATTGGACAGAAATCTGATTATCCGAAAACCGTTGTATGCGATTTTCAAAAAAATTAACATGAGGCTTTTCTTTTTTTTTTTTTCTTTTTGCGCGGATATTGTAATGTTTTACGTTCTCTCGCGCCGAGTCGTCCAAAAATAAAAAAAAAAACAAAAAAAAAAGTAAAAAAATGGCGTTTTATATTTTTTTGGATGGTTTCCGCTTTTCGCAAAAGGGGATCAGGCGTCCAAATTTCGTTTGCGGTTTCCTCAGTATACTGGGTCGTTTTTCGCATCACGTGTTCCAGCCTGTCATCTCTATGGTCTAACCGAACGGATAGAATGGAGGAACACAGCCGGCACGCTCGAGCCTCGCCGAACCCCGCCTTCGCTGTGTGAAACCCGCTGGCTGCCTTTTTGCGGACGGGCCTTGGCGTCGCTCCTTGAAGCCCAGGTCATGCCCAGCTCCCGGAATCCCCGGTCCGTGTAGTACATTCCCATGCCCTCAAACAGAAATAATTACTGCCCTCGAGGGAGCCTTCCTCGCATTAAAAAAAGAACGATGGTTTGGGTTTCCGAATACACTCACATATAGCGCACAAAAAAACATAAGTAAGTGAATACAGCAGTAACGTGATATCTCTCTCTCTCTCTCTGTATATATATATTCTTGTATCGTCGGCTGCGTTTTAATTTAAACCAACACCACCTAGAATAATCAAAACCTCCGTATCGTTTCCTCTCCCTTCCTGAATCGTCATCAGAGTCGGATTGCACTGACTCGGCTATTGGGTGCGAGTCCGACCTTCGACGCGCTTATTGAACACGAGCCCCGACCGCGTTCAATTTACTTCTTTTACGTCGATAACACTTGAGACTCAAGTTGTTATACTTGTTTTACCACGGACGCCTGAAGTCTAGAGGTTTTTTTGCGCGACACCTGAAGGTTGACGTTTCCCCCTACCTAACACCTGTTTTACGTCGTGACGCGCGATTCAATCACGGTAGATTACTGCACCTCTTTGAACTCATATCCATGCGGCATTCAAAGCACGGATCTTGCGGTGACTCGCGTTCAAATCTGTGTGCAAACTGTCTTTTGTACGATGTATAAGCAGTGGGACCCCGGCTTAAGAAACACTGCAGAGAGGCTGTAATCTGGGGAAAGGGGCAGACTAACGGTTGAGTTGAAGACCACTTTAGGGATGGGACCTTATGAGCACCAGTGTGTATGGTAGCATCTGAAAGCACCGATGTTCAGATTGCTGATTGGTGCCCTTTGAAACGTTGCAGAAAAGCTGAAATCACAGATAAAAGTGCAGATTATAACGCGGGCGAAGCCAACTTTAGGGAGATCTCAAGCAATCTCAGACTTTAAAAAGCATCTGCGTTATGGCACTTTGTAGCAAAAATGTGCAGATTGAGCGCATTCGCTGTAAGTGATCAGTTCGATCCGATGGAAAATTTTCGATTAATGCGATTTAGATCGTCCCCGAAAGGAAAGGTCTTCAATATTTGCATGGTACCTAACTGGACGTTCATTGTGTCCGCACATGGACAGTTCTAAGTGGGGAGGAATGCTTTACTTAAGTGTAAAAGAAAAAGAAAAAAAAAAAACAAGAAACAGACAAACAAACATACGTTCAATTCGACCTGGAAGTGCAATGTATCTGTTGCTTAGCTCATTCAAGCTATTTCATAGGCTATACGAGGATGTGTGAATTATATGCTGAGTGGAGAGCAACCCATAACAATAAAAGCAAATGCCCTCATCTGAATTATTGATTTTCACATCCCAGGCAACTTATCGATGTAACCTCACATAAGCTGTCTAGAAAATAGGTCTTTGTTTAGTGGGCTGCTGTTGCCATTTTTCTATTCTCGCCGATACCCATTGATTGTTGCTCAAGGTGAACACAGCTACACATTCATGCGGTATCTCATTCACGAACATTCAATTGGGTAACAGCATTCACCACATTTTTGTCTCGCTTTCTACAGTCAGATTGGGGATTTTGTAGTGAAATTTGACGTGGGCGCCTTCTTCTGCTACCAGTATCTATGTATATGCATAGTTTATATGACAAAACAAATAATATTTCAGCTCTCCCTTTTTTTTCTTTTTTTTTAGCAGAGGATGCAACGTTGATGTGAAATTAGAGCTTTTATCTGTAAGAGCGGAACAGGAGTGCGCCGGCAAGCAGCTGCACTGCGCACTCGTCCGCATGTTCAGGTGGTGTCGATCGTGAACATTCGCGCTCTCTCCTTCGAGTGTAACTAGCATGGAATGATACAAGTTAAATGTTTATAGCCCGCTGTCGGACGTGTATCGTGTGCCGACCCTGCCACATTGTCAACATTTTTTTTTCTTTTAATGGGTTAGAATGACAGAAGTACCTACAAATGCAATAAAAGATTATCTGTTCCGTGCCGGTTGGTGCATGCAAATGAACTGGTGCAACATCCGAAGCGCCGCAACAATCTGCTGCTACACACTGACTATACGGAACCACACCGCACGCCAGGGTGGAAAAAAAAATCTAGATGATCTATTTCATGATTTAAATCACACCGGGTTTACATATGATGATTTGAATCAAACCTTCCCGGGAAATTAATCGGCAAAATCCCTTTTATTTACTCTTTGTCTATCACGTGATATTTTTTATGTGCACTTGTTTTATATATAATATCAAGGAATCGCCGAAAAAAAAAATTGAAAGCAGGTTGAACACAAACAACTCTTCTAATCAAACCAAAGCGTTTACCTTTTTTCTTTTTTTCCTACGTTCCTTTTTGTTTGTCAATTACGTAATGTAGCTACTGCAAGCAAGTCAAAACGCGAAAGAAGCAAACCAAGTCAAGAAAAGCTATGTCCTATGCGAGCTAATCAAAACGCAAAAGGAAAAGCAAAACCAACTATTTTACCGGCCAAAAAAACAACAACAACAACAACAACAACAACAACAACATTTTTTTTGTTCTAGTATGGCGGGTTTTCATCAATAGAAAGTTGTCAATTCAGCTGTACAGAAAAAAAATCTAAACTTTCTGTGATCGTTTATTTTTTTTATTTTTTTCGTTTTGTCTGTAGTGATCGGACGGCTTAAGCAATCAATGTCATGTTTGAAAATACATAAAGTGATAAAGAATGACGTTTTCTCCAGCTGCAGGGAATTATGTCAAATGAATATGATTTAAATAAAATAAACCCGATTTACGTGCTTTAAAAAGTCGTTATATTTTTCACCCTGCTGCACGCTATCAGGCCACTGTGACGTCACATGACCTAATGTAATAGTATCACGTGTCGTCATGGGGGGGGGGGGGGTTGCCACTAACTTGGGGGTGCCGTAAAAGAAAAAAAAAATGTCTGGGAAAAGGGCAAATTATTTTAGTTAGTGCCGTATGAACGCTAACCTGAGGTCTGTAACATGCACACCGCTGTAGTAAAAACACAAATACACCTAGGTACAATACCCTAATCCGGATTGCTACTCTTTTCGTGCTCTCTATCTCTCTCTCTCTTTTTTTTATTTTTATTTAGCCTTATTTTTTAATTTTTACAACGAAAGCGAAACTCCGTGTCGGAAACTCCGTGTCGGAAATACTGGAAATACTTACATATTTGAAGCCCCCGCTTGCGGCCGAAACAGGTCGGTCGCCCGAATCTCGCGTACCCTTCCCTAGATGCCGCCACCATCGTAATGGTTTTATTGGCCCGCGTACAATCCAGTTGGCGGGCCTGGCACCTGGCCTGTCTGGCGCCCGGCCGCTCCTCAGCCAGCCCCTTTGAACACGCAAAGCGAGTAGGGCAGTTGTGTGGGGCTTCTGCCGGCGTTGTGTCTGTTGTGTGGTTGAATGGTTGTTGTTATCGGGCCTCCTCCTCTCCCAGTGCGCCCAACAACGCGGACTGCCGACTGCCGTCCGCCGCGCCGCCCGCCTCCCACTGCTTGAACGAGCCACTTGCGCGAGTTTGAAAGGACTCACTGCTGTCTGGCTTCCTTTTCCTGTTCGTCGCCGTTTGTTTTCCCTCGGGTGTGTGACGCGCACTTGCTCGTTCGTTTTTAGTTCGCTAGCTCGTCGCCCCTTTCGCCTCCTCAGCGAGCAGACTCTCAGCGAAGCCAACCTCAGCGAGCGCAGCATGCTGCTTTCTAAAGGCGCGGCGACACTGCTTCGCCAGGCACGTTTGTTGGAGCCCAAACTTCGTGCCCAGTGGTTCGCGGCTTCGAGGTGAGTCGGGAATTCCCGTTGTTTCGTTACATGATTCGCGAATGCCGCCGCCAGCGCTTGCCCACGATTGTCTTATATTTGGGCGACGTTTTGGAGCAGTCGTCCAAGAGTGGACTCTCTCGATCGAGTTAGCTGTTTGAAGAAAGAGCTGGCATGCAAGAAGACAAACAGATCGGACGTGTCCGTTGCTGTGACTTCATGCACACGCCGTGGATATGACCGTATCGGCTTTTTTTACCGCTGTTTAAATTTTATGTTGGCAGGGGCCACGTGCTCGATGTCGGCCGCAAGTGCAAGACGCCAAGGGTTATCAGTGCTCAATGCAGGACAGTCTGCTCAGCCGCCAACAGAGATAGCACGAGGGAGTGCGGATGCACGCGAAACGTCTTTGCGAACGAAATACTCGCACGAGCATGTATTTCTCTGGAAGTACTTGCATTGCACCAAAGTCACTAGAGCAAGGCTGGCGCAGCACTCCATACTGTCTTGTGCGGTTCAAGTGACATTAGTGTGCCACTCTATCCCCAGGCAAGGCAATTTAAAAGTATAGAATACCTTTAATTATACTACTTCGCGTTATACGGCACAACGATCTTCTTTCGCAGGCGCTGTCGTGTGAAGGACGCGCCAAACATCATGAATCACGAAGCCACGCTCTCGCGCAAGGCATTCACATCTCAGCGTTGGAGCGCTGCTGAGACCCCTTGGCAGCGTCACATCGTCACTGGTGTCACGTCGCGTATTTTTGACGACCATGAAAGAGAGAAAGAGAGGGGGAAGCTGCTTTTGTAGGAATTTTGAGTGTTGGGTTTACCTCGTCCCAACGCCAAAGACAACAGATCCTTTCCCGTTTCTTCGCTGAAGCACAACAGCCTATAGATTGGAATATATAGAACCACTAATCCCAACTAGTAGTTGGGATCACACAGCGTCCACAAGGATGGTGGTAGTGGCGAAGAAAACTTCTTTATCTAAGCTTATCGAGACCTCCGCCCGTAACCTCGCTTCGGCGCGGTACGGGGAATATTCTCGAGTTCTTGGTCGATCAAATTAACTTCCCGCGCCCGAGATAGCGGAGCCGGTAAGAAACAAACCGAAAAGCTCGTTTCTTCAATGAGGAAACCTCGCGCGCGCACGTCAAGCCGCCTGGCAGATTTCCAAAAACCTGTCTTCTAGTGTTTTCTATTTGTGCCCTTCGACGGCGGCGTTGCGTTTGCGCGGAAACTTGCTACATCGCCGGCAATGTGTCACGCCTGCTCATTGCTAAAAACGTAAAAAAAAAATATATATATATATTTTTTTTCTTCTTATTTTCTTATTTTTTTTTTATTTGTCGTTACGTCGGATCTCTTCTTTTTTTTTTTTCTTTCTTTTTTTAACGCTGTTACATATTATTTAGGCCTATTCGGGCTGCTTTTTATTGAGGAGTTTCAGCGAATATAGGGGGCGCTCCGATAGATCCAACATGGCGGTCAAGAGGGGGATAGATTTGCGACGCCCGTAGACCGGTAGCGTATAAGTAGAACAAAGCGTGTCGTTCTCTGTTTGTTGCCGTGTGCGAGACGATCATAATTTCAACCAAGACCTACCGTGATTCTACAGATGAAGTGTTCAAGCCAGTCGAAGGCAAGAAATCTTGCCATAGTCAAGATATATGTGCAAGTGTTCGACGTGAGCTCTCACGCTGGTGCAGCTGTCATCAAGTTGAACCGAATGTACGCGGGTCCAAAGAAAGGTACATGTCAACAATGTTCGCGCGTTCAAACTATGACGCGTACTTTATCTCAAACTAAACTTATCGGTCTGCGGCTACGAACATTTTTGTTGACGTGGCTTAGATGATGTAGCCATTCAGGCCTCGCATTAGAAGGTGTTGCGAACTTTTCGGTTGTTCTAGTTAATTGTGCTAAAAAGCGGTTGGATGGAAAGTATGACAACTACAGCATACAAGGGACGATTGAGGTCTTTATCCTGCGTTCTATGTATCGAAACATCGGTATCCTTGGTGTTACATTGCGATCAGCTGGTCGCCGATCGTCCTGTTTTTACGCATAATGTAAACAAGCCCCGGAAGCGCCAATCTCATTTCCATGTGCTTGTGCACCCCTACAAGCCTCATTTCGGCTCTTGTGGAAAACTTTATTGTAATAGCAATAGTCTCATCGGTCATTCGAGTTGTATGTGCCACGGTGATATCTGCTGTGTGTGATCTGCTGACAAACAAGTCTGTATTAAATGCGAGGAGGAGAACGAAGGTAAAGCTTTTTTAACTGTTTTCTTTTTACAGAACAGGGCAAAGCTTCTAAAACAAGAGCAACCTTAGCTGATATTTGAGTGTGCTCAAGAAGGAATTGCAAAAGGTGCTTATGCCAAGTGGCAGATGTATGCAGTTGATTTTCTGTTTGCTTCTGCATTGTAAATTGGAAGATATGTATCAGCAGAAGACATGTGTCCTTTTCAAAATGTCTTTTATTAGAGCAAATAGGTTTTCATACACAACCGAAGAGTTCGAAACACCATTTAATTTGAGGCCTGAATGGTTACATGATCTAAGCAACGTCAACGAAAATGTTTGTAGCCACAGACCGATAAATTTAGGTTTAGATAAGTATGCGTCATAGTTTCAGCCTCAAACACTCAACATTGTTATGTACCTTTCTTGATGACAACTGCACCAACGTGAGAGAGCCCACGTCGTCGAACACTTGCACACATATCTTGACTATGGTATGGCAAGATTTCTTGCTTGAAGTGAAGATCATCTCGCTACGACTAGCTACGACCACCCACCGCAGCGATGCAGGCACCGAAGGGGCGCAACGCAGTCAGTCGCCGTCACCGGACGCTGCTCGTTTGGCATTCACGGCTTTCCGCCCAGGTGCTTCGTTTGTACTTGGCACCGAGTGTTATTTTCTGTGCTTGTGTGTGTGCCGAGTGGCTAGATATGGGCCTCAAGAGCAGTTCTTCAGGCTCAATAGCGTTCGCCGAAGAACTTCTGAAGAAAATGCCACCCAGGAAAAAAAGCACAAAGACGCAACGCACCAGCTTGGCGGACTATGCACTGGGCGCGGAAATCGGGCCCTGCGAATTATACACCAAATGCAAACTATCTAAACAAAACAAAAACATTTTTAGGCTCAAATTGGCTTCTGCAAACTATACGCCTGGACACTGGTGCCCGTTATTATGCATTGTATATTCACTGCTGTTTGTTGTGGCTTGAGAGTGCCTTCCTGTAATGATGCAGAGGGGTCCACTGAACCTTGAAATAAAGATATTTAAGCACATCTAGATGCAACGTCCCTTTAATTTGCCAACAGCACGCCAATGGTCACGATCAAAACTCACCGAGTCAATGGGCAGTTTTCCACAATATTTATTGCCATGTAATCACCAATTTGGTCCATTAAAAGTCTTGAGCCTGTAGCACATCCATTCTGGATCTGCAAAGCTTATGCTGTAGACGTGCGTCATCACATGAGCATGTTTCTTATCAATCTTAAACGTAAAACGCTAGTTATGCAACGACATTCCCATATCACATTTTTAGCAAATTGAATGTCCCACCTGTCATACTGTTAGCTTTGGAAGTAAACCAATTCACAATACCACCAGTAGAATACATCGTGCCAAGCATTAGTGCCGCATGTGGCACAAAAAATGTCCTAACTAGGGAAGCAAACTTTATCGATCGTTTTGATTAAAGCACTCAAGTACGGGCGAAATCATCAATCAAAGAAGGTCACTCGAAAGGGAAGTTTGCTCGCTGAACGAATATGACTTTTTATTGGGCGTTCCGCAATGTAGGCCGAAGACATTCACTCCGTGATTGGTACAGAAGCATTTTCAATCGGTCGTGCGAGCGCAAAAACAACAACAAAAACAAAGGTGGATTAGAAACGCGATAGATTCGCCTTTGCACGGAGTACTTACACTCAAAATCGTGTCAACATAAAGCGACTATGGCCCACCTTGCTAGCAGCAATCTTAAAATTTATCCGTGTAGTCGTCGCACCCGTGCACCAACCGAAAGCGTTGCTGCAAGCCCCTCCGCCGTCAACTTTGAGTCGCTGTCGAGTCTGAAGAACTCTGCTCTATGAGGTCCACATCCAGCCACTGAGCACATACAGAAGCACAGGGAATAATACTCGGTTCCAAGTGTAAGCGAAGAACCCGGGACGGAAAGTCCTGAATGCCAAACGACCTGCGTCGGGCGACGGCGACTGACTGCGTAGTCGCGTAGTACACAGGTTGCGCTCCTTCGACGCCTGCATCGCTGCGGCGGGTGGTCGTAGCTCGTCGTAGCAGTTCGTGTCATCTCTGTTGCCCGTACCGGAACACTAGAGCCGCGTAATATTCTTGCTGCCGAAGTTTATGAGCCTACGTTCGCGGCCAACGCATTTACACAAAGCCAACGCCCAGCGAACCTATCCCCCTCGTTCTCTTTCGGCGACCGGCCGCCAGGGCGGTGACACCGTCGCTGAAACTCCTCAATTGCGGAGAGCATGTCACCTGCTTCTCGCTCAGGAGTTGCTGTGACGTCTGAATGACGCCGAGATCTCATCGGCCGACTGAAAGAAATAGCGGGTAGATCTCAATGCTAGGTGCTTTGAGGTCTACCGACTATTTTTGTTTTTCTATCAGCCAATAAGAGCTCGGCATCATTCTGACGTCACCGCAACTCCTGAGCAAGAAGCAGACGACTCGCTCTCCGCATATCGCGTCGACTCCGGCACGCACTTTACTCGGTTCTTGCCAGAACGGCGTTTGTAGTTGTAACTTCTAACACAGTTTGACCAAAAGACTCGCTCTGGCCCGCTTTCCACATATTAGCGCCGAGATGTTTCGGTGGCGCCCTCTTATGGTTTTCATTCGTGACGTCACGACTGGGATTTGCCTCGCCGTGACGTCACCAGTTGCTATCCTGGCCACTTACTATCAGGTGCGACGACGAGTTCGGTGGTCTGTTTAAAAATCACATTGGAAGCTAGGAGCCATCG